GTATAACATTTTGTTTAAATTGGAAATAACTTTAGCCCGGCGCATCCACCAATTTTAATTAAAAAATTGTAAGGTATCTCGTAGTTTTTACTTACGCTAAAAATTAACAACTTAAGTAAACTTAAAGCATTTTACGCCACATTTTCATCTTACTATCACAGTTATGAGAATTATTTATAACCTCAGTTGTATCTAGCCGTAACTTCGTTATCGCATTTGTAGAGTAACACAAAAGCACATCGCGTTTTGTGCACTAAGTAAATTAATTAATAAACTTCTGGTAAACAAAAGTTTTAAGCTACAACACTTTCAAGAGTATACTTACTGTTTTCTCAAAGTTAAGTTGCAACATGAATTATATATAAAAACTGAACCGTTAATTGACAAAAATAAACAGAAAATAAATATGTTTTGAAATTGTATTTCAATGCAAAAATATTTTTTTTGTTTACTTTTAGTGACTTTTAACTTAAAAAAATCAGTCAATTAGTGGAAAAAGTATCAAAAAGTTTTTTACTAAATAATAAATTAGCCAAAAATTCATTGTATTCCTGGCCGCGTCCGTAATTAGCAATTAAGATCGATTTGTGGCCGTTTATATTGTGCTTTTTATTAGCTATTTCTCTACTTTAACTGCGGTCACAAACAACCAGAGATAATCTGGTCAAAGCCGACCTGCGATTAAACGAGTTTTGTATTAACGGGTCGTCGTTTATCTCCCGAAACGGCCGTATTTTTTTAAATTTTATTTTCTCTTTTTTATCAAATTTGCCGGAATTAAATCCAATTTCACATATTGCATATTTAAAACTTTGTTTCTTGATCAAAATTACATCCTTCTAATCTGGAATTTAATAAAACAAAAAATTAAACGTCAAAAGCAAACCTTTTTGGTTTTATTTCAGTTAAAGCTCGGCATTTCTGGTATGGAGCGGATTAATCCTGCATAAAAAATTCTTCATAATTTTCCAATTGGAAAATTATTAATCTGCAGGTGGAATATTTCAGATTGGTGCGCATCACGCACGCCTTTCAGATTCCTCATTTTATTGCACTTGAATCGGTTATTTCCCTTCAGTAATCCCGGAAGACTTTGATAAAAGCAATTTAAATAATTTATTATTACCGAGGCGTGCATTCTGGAATAATAAAAAAACGAAAAGTAAGTGGGAACCATTAAAAAATTCATTATGTTAAGGCCTAAGAATATCGATTATTGATGGAACAGATGTGACCGGAATTTAGGCACAGGGGAGACCCGGAACTTTTATTAGGACCCTAATCGCCTAACTTGGAATCTGATTTAACGCACGCCCTCTTCCGACAACCCAACGAAACGCACGACAATTCATCGGGAACAATTCAATTTCCAACGATTTAAAAACCTATTTTTTCCTTCTTAAGCCTCAATAAGAAAGTGATCTACTTACGATTTGACAAAAAGCAGTGATTGGACAACACGAAAAACGATTTTTTTAATTATTGCACAAATTGCTAATCTCCGTTTTTAATAAACTATATTCGAGCACATCTTTTTATTTATTCGGTTACGTAAATTAATAAAAACGGTCTGGTAAATGCAATTTCACAACCTAGACTTCCCGTGGTTAATCACAATGCGCCGAGCTTTTTATTAAAAAATGTGCCTAATAATGCACCAACTGCTTTTAATTACAGTCTCGTGGAAGGCTCAGCGAGCTGTTTATACGCCAACATTTATTAAACGATTTTCAACTTGATTAGTTTTAATAAAGCGACGTCTGACGGAGCTTAATAAAAAATCATTTTTAGGTAATTGACAGATCTGATGGGAAATGTGGACTAAAACCATCACCGATAAAACTTAATGCATTTCTTTAGTTTGTAGAGACTTTAAATTTTAAATTGATGGATCCGCTTGATCCGAATAAAAATACTATTCTATAGAGAATTGACTATTTTAGGGCATTTTGTATTTAACTTTCTCGTGGTTTTTGATCTCAAAGAAACGCGGAAATACAAAAATAACTATTTAATTTTAAGTTAAAGATGAAATTCCAAAATAAAAAATTTCGAATTAATTCTCAGATTGTGTTTTTAATGTAATATTTTTATTTCTAAAAATTTTTCCTAATAGAAACGAACCTAACTTAATTAAAAAAGTTTTCCAAAAACGGTGGATGCGCCGAGCTAATTTTTATATAAATTAAACTGTTCATTGTAATATTTTACCGTAACACTCTATCTAGTAAAAAATCTTAAGAGTATCATCTCTTTGCCAAAAGGCTCCCCATTTGGGGCATCCATAAATCCCAACTCGACAAAAGATTGAGTTCTATTACGTTGGTGTTAAGAAGTGTCGTCGATAAATTGTATAAAACTGCTCTCGGTCGATTTTTAAGTACGTACTAAAAAATATTCATACGAACAGACACACTGAAACGTAATGGACAATAAACTCAACATTTGCAATATTATTATAAGAGTTTTATTCCTGAAAATGGGGATAAAAAGCAACCGAAACATCTAAAAAAATGTAATGAAACTAATAACGGTATTTTTTCCTGTGACTAAACTGTTTACGGCCGCCATAGGAAAATAATGTCGAATAAAGCAGTAAAAAGAGGGAAACTCCGTCCTTTTACAATCTCGGCCGAAAGGTGGCTGGAATAATTCAGCGAATTTGCGACGGAAACAAAAATAGAATAAGGCACCGGCGAATTTAGGATGTAGTTTTTCATTCAATTACAAAAATTGTTAATTTTAAAGCAAAAATGTGATAATTTGATAATTACGATTACGATATTAATAGCCTCTCAAGTTTAACGCCATCTGAATGCCATATTCGCACAATAAAAAATAAAATAATTAAAAAAATTAATAACAAAAATAAATATGTAATAAACATAAATAAAAATTTTTAAAAAACCCTGAGATTCACCTGGTCAAAATATTTAACCCAACTTGTCTCTATAGCAAATTGTACTGTTTAAAAGTTAGAAGACGTCAATGTTTAAAAATTATTTTTGATTTTCATTAATCACTTTTTAATAGATTAATCGATTTTTATGAAATTGGGAACAGGCAACTTTATATCAAATCACATGTTTTGGTGCTATTTCTCTTAATTTATTGTTATTGTAAAGTACTAACTTATTAACAACTCGACACATTTTAAATCATATTTTTGTTATACAGTATGTTACCGGATTAAGTTTACAAAAGAAAAAAAAAGTCTTTCATTTTACGCCAAAACTGCAAAGGAAAAATATTTTTTACTTCACCTGAAACAAGCAAATCTGTAATTAAAACTTCATTACTCTGATTCAGTGAACAGAAAATTTAATTTTGGACATAAAATAATTTTTCTCTGTTTTTAAGTCCTACACATTGGCGGTTTTATTTATTTGACAACTATATGCCACTTTGACAATTAATTTATTAATTAAATAATGATAATTCTGTTAAAAATGACTTTGTTTTCTATCTTAAAGATGTGTCTTGGAGTTGCTATTTATTAAAATTATGTTTTTCACAAAAATTTTTGTTATTTAACTTGCGAAAACTTGACAAAAACTTTGTCAAAAAAAACGCTAATGTGATGGGATTTAAACAGCAGAGAAAAAATGATTCTAAATCTAAATCAAGAGAAAAATAAACTCTTCTTTCTACTGAGTTAGAATAATAAAGTTTTAATTACAGATTTGCTCGTTTCAGGTAAAGCAAAAAATGTTTTTTCTTTGCAGTATTGGCGTAAAATCAAAGATATTTTTTTTCCTGTTGTAAACTCGATCCGGGGACATACTGTACCTAATCCTAGTGTCGTATTTTTTTTATTTAAAAGGTGCATTATTCCTAAACACTTTTTTATCTTATAAAATTTTTGTATCGGCCCTGGTTTTAGAAAAAAAAATTGTTTATGTAAATGTGTTAAAATTTTGAACGTTGGTAATTTATGCAGGTTTTAGTGTATTTACGTATGTTTGTGTTAGTTAACAATAATGTAATTAATTATTAATTTAAACAAAAAGAAAAACAAACGGTTACTTTTTATCCCCATCTTTTCGTTACATCGTGTATAACCATACAAAAGCATAAATTAAAATAAAATTAACAATTGTACCTAAAACTACAACTCAGTCGAAATCACTAAAGCAACAGTTAAATTATAAACTAATTAAAAACAAAAATTGAAACTTTACAACTATGGTTGTTGTGATTTTTTGCTCCTGGATAATTTCTGAACTATTCAAATTTTTTCAATTTTTAACAGCTTTGTAGACTAGAAATGTTCCCGTAACTACCTATCAGAAAAGTTATCCGTCATAATATAAAAGACCCATATAGCAAACTATTGTATTGTGCTTTTTAATACCGGATTTTAACAATATTTTCATTAACAAAAATTGAAATCATTATTGCTGTCGATGAGTAAATAAATTTAAAACTAATAGGTAAAACAGCAAACAACAAAACAAATTATTTTACTAAAATTCATATAAAATTTTCCATAACTAATGAACACTTGGTTTATTTAATATCAAGTGGGATAAAATATTGAAACAAAGCAATCAATTTTGCTATTTTTATTTTCGCTCTCATAATTTTTCAATTAAGACTTGTAAAATATTTATATTGAAAGTATAAAAAGCAAGCATTTTTTAAATAGTTTACAAAATGTGTCACATTTCTCACATTCATGAATTTTAATAAATCCGACATCACGACACCACAGTTTGCAAACAACTTTTTCGGCTTTTCGGAATTATGCCAAAAGTGAACATCGATTTTATAAAGTCCATCCGTTATTCCTTTCCCGTCTTAGCATCGCCAGAGGCGAGTCAGTAATCAAATCAAGCAGAGCAAGAAAGTGGACCGTCGTGTCGCGTCTCTCGGGTTCAAACCCAACAAATATTCAATTTGCGATACACCCAATGATGGCGTTAAGATAATGGACTCGGGAGGATCATCGCGACTTTGCTTTTGCTCCAGGTGTGATGTGAATAATGGATTTTTTCCAGGGACGCTCTCTCGCACAACGCGCGGAAGTTGCACGAAAGTGTCAAGTTGCAACTCCTCCAGAACCTCACCGATTTGCTACGGAAGACCTTCAGTTCCCAGTTCGTTTTCCCGGCCCTCGGCCACGACGACCCCATGGCCAAGAAGGAGTTGGGCAAGATGTGGAGTCGCTGGCTGCCCACCGACTCCATGCACACCTTCGCCAAAGGTAGGATTCTCTTCCGGGCACTTCGCCGTGACATGAATTATTTATCAAGCGTAATTTTTCTCAGTAAATCACTCGAAAACCCTTTCCGTCTGTTTTTTGCCCTCTGCCCTTCTAAATTGTTCCGTTCTTCTTATCCCCAGTGTGGCTCAACTTCCAGATTCAAAGTTTACGCCCGGATTTTTACCGGGATTGAATTCTTCTTGTCTTGTTAAAGAGCCGTTTAAAGTTGCGGCCGCGCTTCGACCATCGATCTTTGCCCGGACTGGTCCCTAATGGGAAACAATAATAAAAAGCCGACGCGAGAGAACTTAGAGACATGGCACGTTGCTTGTTTGCGAATAATTGCCCGATTGGTACGACGGCTTTGTGCACAAAGCGAAGAAACGGACACAAATTACTAACGCACAAAGGAAATTTGTAATCCACACGATCTGAATAATAAATCAAGGAGAGTCACAGAGGCCAAACGGGAATCTCCATATTCTACTCGGATTTATCGAAACAAGACATACCGACAACAGTAACGATTTCTTTATTTAGTCAAATTAAAAATGAAAAAATATCTCATAATAGAACAAATACAGCAAATACAGAGTGATTTTTTTTTAAAAATTCTTATTTCAGAAATTAAAGAACAAAATTAAATAGCTTTTCATATTTTTCTAAATATCATAGTAAATTTTGGACTATATTCAACTTTCTAACATTAATTAGGGACCCACACTTTTTTTTTCGTAATTTGGAGGATTAGGTCTTTTAAGACAGACATGGGCAATATGTTCTAGTTTTACTAAAAATTATTGTTTAAAAAATTATCCAAGTTGAAAAAAAATAAATTAATAAAATCTAGTTGATTGTTATCAATTAAAAAATTGACGTTTACAATAATTTTATTAAAAGTAGTAAACAAAATAAATAAATAAATAATAATAAAATAAATTAATCACTTCAAATTAGATGTTTTTCTGATTTGTTATAAGTAATTATTATTGTCATTTCTTATTGAAAATTTGAAAAAAAAACTGACAATATTTTCTTTCTTCACAACAGTGTCTTATTTGACACCATGCAAATAAATTTCATTAACTTTTATTTTTTTTTTTTAATTTTGATAATTTTTTTAAAAGTATAACATATTACACTCGTCTGTACCAAGAAAACTAGTTCCTTCTAAATTATAAAGAAAAAAATTGGTTTCCAATTTAAAGTTAGAAAGTTATATATTGCCCAAAGTTTATTGTGACATTTAGAAATTGTCATCTTATACTATGTTAAAAGCAATTTAATTTATTTTTTAATTTTTGAAATTGGAACATAAATAAAAATTCACTATATAAAAAGTTTATAAATTGCCACAAATTTTATATTTTTCTATCCAAAGTTAATAAACAGTGGTTATTTTAGTAAACGCCTTAGATTCTAGCCCTGATTATTTAGCTCTATACAATATACAGAGTGTTTTAAAAACAAACCGCCATACGTCAACCAGTGATAGAATATGTCACTCTGGAAAAAAGTTTTCTTTATTCATAATATGATGAATTATTAACATTTATTAAACAAATGAATGCTTAATTTAAAGTCTTACTTAATTTATGTTGTCAATGTGACATAAATATAAACATGAGTGTGCAAACGATTCATTTATAAGATTAAATAACTTTAAGTAAAAACATAATAACTAAAGAAATTGCTTTATATTGCCTCAATTGAATAAGACTTGAAGCTAAGCAATTGCTTCATAAATGTCATCGTTTTCAATTTATTTAATTTGTTTTTAATTTGTCACAATTTGTACAAAGTTCCCTGTTAGACTAAGCTGCAACTCTCGAATGAAGATAGAAAACATTTATTTAACTTTTTTTTCTCAGAATGATATTTTCTATCACTGGTTTACGTATGTTGATTTACTATTGAAACACAAAATTTTATATGCAACTAACTACCTAAAACTTAAAAAAAAACAAATATTTTATTATTATTATTAAAAAATTATATTATTATTTTCTATATTAAATTTTATTTACAGAACTCACAAAATCAAAATTTTGGTGGAAAAATGGATAGCATCTTATGTCCATAGCCACAAATTTTATTTACTTTTTGTTTAAAAATGTTGAAAATTTTAGTATTTATAAATATTGTGTGCCTTTTTGCTCTTTGAAAGCGTTAAAATCAAATAGCTTAGTACAGACATCACCACGTAACATCTAGAGACAAAATTCAGAGTGCTAATAATATTGATTAAAACAATACACTGCAAGTAATGTTGTAGACAAAAGTGAGCTTCTTGCTACAAAAACTTTAATAGAAAAGTGTAAAAAATACAAGCAGTTACCGTGTGACTATTAATGTTTGTAACAAAAAATATATTGGCAATACTGATTAATAGCACAGTGCCGGACAATAAATTTAGTCCACTACAAATGTCCAAATGACATTCGTCTCTAAAGCGGGCTATATATACAGGTGTTCCGGCTAAACACCACATTAGAAGTATTGGGATTTTTAACAATACTATTTATCAAAAATTTTATTTATAGCCATAATCGTTTCGGTTCTGCTCAGTGAAAATATTTTCAAGATGGCGCCACTTCCTCTTACATCGGAAGTGGATATTAACTTCGATAGTTTAAATAAAAATTTATGTTTTTTATTGAGTTTTTGGATTACTCAAGTGATTTTGAGAGAGTTTTTGTTAGCCTTCCCTAGACCTAAGTTTAACCCTTTTTTCTATTCAAAAATCGATAACTCTCTCATTTTTTATTATGTTGAAACCATATTTGGGCATACGAGAGAAAAAGGTTAGATCTTTCCTTTCGTGTATTCGTAATTGGAAAAATAATAAACAAACCGCCAAAATGCAAGGTTACGTTTAGGAAACTTCAAATACTCAATTTTTCTTAATGAAACGCTTCGATTTTTTTCTTTACTAAATGGAGGAGAATTTAGTTCTGTATTAACCTTCCCTATACTTATGTTTGATAATTTTCAAGTTATAGTAACTTCTAGAAATTCATTATCAATAGCTATTTTAGCATAGGTTGTCATAGGAATAAGAGTATCAAAGTAATTTAAATTAAATAAATTTAATTTGTATTGACAAAAAGAATAAGATAATTGTGAAAAAAAAACTTTGCGTTTTTTCAGTGAGAAATATATCCATAGTAATCTAGGCGAAAACTACCGTGGATAGTAATGAATTTTTTGCATTAGAAAAAAATTCAAAATAACTTGGAAATCATTAAATTTAGGTATAGGGAATGTTGGTACAGATTGATGCAGAATTAAATTCTCTTTCATTTAGTGAAGAAAAAATTGTAGCCTTTTATTTGAAAAAAATCAGTTTCCCAAACATAACTTTAAGTTTTGGAGGTTTATTAATTATTTTTCCAATTGTAGATACACGAAAGAAAAGATCTAATCTTTCTTTTTCATTTGCCCAAATACGATTTCAAAATAATTAAAAATGGTAGAGTTATCGACTTTTGGAGAGGAACATGCGAATTAAAAAAAGATCAGAAAAGTCTAAGTCAAAAACCGAAACTGCCAACTTCCTTTATTAAAATTAGAAGGAATGAATTTGCTAGTAGTGCCAACGTTAGGACTGCTTGACATTTCATACTTTACACGAGTAGCATAAATAATTGTAAGTGTCCTTCAACACCTTCAAACAGCTGTGTAAAGTCCAAATCAAAATAAAAGCACGACGATATGAAAATGTTCAAGAGAAAAAGAAATAAAAAACAACGTAATTAGAAATAGTCATTTCAATTCGTGTAGCAAGCTTTTATTCGAAAACTAAACTCGGTTAGGTTTTTATCCGTATCGAATACAGGAAACATCTTGCTCACTCGTAAGTTACACACCGTCGCAATAATTTTTCCGCTTCGCTTCTTGTATCCATCTCTCGTCGCAGACCTTATTTAGCTTAAGCTTCTTGCGCTGGGAGCTCGCAATATCGCCTAATTTCGAAAAGGGAATCACGGTAATGCCCTTATCGATTTAGCGGTCTGTGCGGCCCAGCTGACGTCAAAATCGATGACGTTGAGCGAATCTTCGCCGAATAACACCGTGCCACTCGTGGCAAAGATGTGAATGCGGAGCAATTTCATTTGTCGGTTGCATCAGTTCGCTGCACGATCGTAAATGGATTGGATTTCGAACGAGTGAATTTCCGTTTCCTACTCATTATCAAAACGATTCAAGGAATTGCCGTTATTTACAAGTTTATTTTTCTACGTGAAAAGAGACGAGGTTTTACAAGCAGCACCCACTGATTTATGCAAATGAATGCGAGCGACTTTTACAACCATCGTAAAATAAGGAAATAATTAATTTTAAAGGGGCTAATCCATCAGTTTTCATGCGAAAATCGATGCTTTGATTAGCCTGATGTTGTTCAAGCGCTGTAAATGTTAGATCGGTTTTCTTAGATTAGATGCCGGGTTTTAAACAGGTTAATCACGCGACGGACGTTTACTTTCAAAAAATACACTGACTTCGGACTTCGGGGAATGACTGATTGGTCATTGTCCTTCATGGAAATGATTTTTTTATTTCTTTAAACTCAAAAGCAATTTTTACAAAAAATGTGCCCTGTGGTAAATTGTATTCAACTGAACTGGTTTGTATTACTAGTATTACAAACAAAACTCACACAATTTCATCACGATTTTGTAAACAAAACTTCTTAAATATTTAATTTAAACAATTCAACAACAGAGCTGTATAATTAAAATTCTTAATATTCGTTACAATATTAACCTTTTTTATAAATCAGTTAATTCCAGAACACGAATTGCAAAAAGAAGTACAACACTAAAATGTTAATATTAAAGAATTATTAAAAATTTTGCCTTTATTGGCCTTATTTGTCTATAGAAGCCATTATTAATTTTTCATTCAATTTTACGAGTATTAGTTCCATTTGGTTTTATTTTTTTATAACAAATAATTCTCTACAATCACAGACTTTGCTGTAGAACAATTTATTAGTT